ATTAGCAGGGCCGGAGGGTCTGTAAGAAAGCGGTCTTAAAACGTGAAGGGCCTGGCAGTGCCTCAAGTTAAACATGAATTTGCCACATGACCCAGCAAAGAACAGAGACCAAAACACGTGCAAACCACCTCAGGGCAGCATTATTCACAGTAGCCAAGAGGTGGGAACAACCCGCGTCCGCCAGTGGATAAAGGGGTAACTAAACCAGGCGCTGCTGTGCCACCAACCATCACACAGCCTGACAAGGAATGAAGTCTCACGTGTGCCGTAACAGGGGTGGACCTTGGACGTTAAGTAAACGAGCCAGATATGCACCGGCAAACATTGGGGGGTCTCCAGACAGGCCAGCGCACAGGCGGAAGAGGGGCGGGGAGTGGGCAGGGGCCACCCACCAAAACGGTCTGTGCAGGGCGATGGGAAGCTCGGAGGCAGAGAGTGGCGCCGGGCGCATGGTGCTGTGAAGGTGCCTAGCGCGTCTGAACTGCACACTTCAAGGGGCTCAAATGGTAAACCTCACGTCCTGGACGGCGGCTCCGCTGGTTGGAGCGACACCCCGTACACGGAAAGGTCGCAGGTTTGTTCCTGGGTCAGGGTGTCCTATGGGAGATAACGATTGATGTTTCCTTCCCCCTCCCCCGCCCCTGTCTCTGAAATCAGTAAGCATGTCGTCTGGCGGGGATTAAAGAAAAACCCTGTTACGCCGTCATCCCGCAGTACTTCGCCCCAGAACACGTGTCCAACTCTGCACGCGTCGCATCAGGACGGCAAAACAAATGTCTCGGGACTCGTCGCACCTGCTAGAACTTACACGAGTCATGACACCGCGGTGCAAGAGCAAATGCTTCCAACCCTCCTCGCTTGTTGGTTACTGTTCACAAGCTCTGGAACAAATTAACGAGTACCGAGGTGCCTGTTTTTACCACAATTGTTTTGAAATTAAAAAAAAAAAAAAAAAAGAACCCAGGTTGCAAGGAACACGACAGAAACTGTCAGCAGAAGACGGACCAGCGCGGACCCTCCTTCCGGACGCAACTTGCGCAGCTCAGTTTGTGCCGTTGAGCGCAGGTTGTCTGCTCTGGACTTTTCTGAAGGCTGCCGAGCAGGTCTCAGCACACGGCATTTCTAGATGAAAGGGAAGAACGGAGTGGGGAGGGGAAAGTCTGGCCTAAAGCTGTGATTTGGGGAGGAGGGCAGCACCCCAGCCCGCTGTGGGTGCGCAGGAGCATAAAGGCCTGTGCAGCGCTGTAACTTCATTTTATTCGGAAAGCCAACCAAAGGGAACGCGGGGCCAGGCCGTCGAGGACAAAAACAAAGCCGGCCCATCAGGAGCGCATTCCTGTCCTCAAAGGGTGAGGTCTACCGCAATTTGTATGTTTTGATACTTTCATATTCATCCGAATGGCGCCAATTCCAAGAATGCGGGAAATTGTGCAAGCCCGATGACCCAATTTCTCCAACTTGGATTTTGCAAACACAGCGAAAAGGAAAGGGCTCATCGCCGCAACGCCACCTGTGGACCGGGTTAAAATTCTAACTGGCACAAAACAGCTGTAAATACACACACACACACACACACACACACACACGTATTTTTTGGTGAGACTCGGAGAGCAGTGTAAAGATTGTGGACACCGGGGACTGGGTCCGGGACGGGGCGCGTTATTCGGTCCTTGCTGGGTTTTGTTCGGAACTTCCCGCAACCCCTCCCGGGCGCTGGACCGTGGAGCCGCAGCGGGGGCCCCGGCCCGCACCCCCCGCAGCCGAGCGCGAGCCCCACCGGAAGTTGCTCGGGGCGGGCGCCGCGGTCCCCGGCGTCTCCTCGGTGCACACCGCCGCCTGAAGAACCGTGTTCGGGTTTCCGAACGCCGCACGCGCGACGGACGCCGCGCCCGACCGCCGGACGCCGCAGGGGGCGCAGGAGCAGCCTGCAGCCCTCGGGGGCCCGGGGCTCGAGACGCGCGCCCGGGCCGCTGACGGGGGACGGTGGCCGCGCGGGGTCAGACGCCGCCGCCCGGCCGCGCTCTACTCACCCCCACGCCGGCAGCACAGGATCCCGGCCTTCTGGGACTCGGGCTGTGGCATCTTCTCCCGCGCCACAGCCCAGGTCCGCGCCGCACTGGCCGCAGCGGGCGGAGCTGGCCGGGAGCAGACGCAGCGCCGGGGGCGGGGGCGGGGGCGGGGGCGGGGGCGGACGGGGGTCGCGGGCTCGCCCAGGCCCGGGGGGCGCTCGCCCACTGCCCGCGCCGCAGCCTCGGCTGCAGCGACAGCGCCCGCCGAGGCCACGTGACGGAGGCCCCGCCCCCGCGCGCCGCCGGTGACGTCACCACCCGCAGGTGCGCGCCGCGCGCCGCGGCCCTGACGTGGCTTCGGACCCGCGGTCTGTCCCGGGCCCTGTTTGGGTATCTTTTTTGTGTTATAAGAGGCCTTGTCAGACACAAACGCTCTTAAAGACATGAGAAGGTGCTCGACGCCACTTAGGATAAGCGAAATGCGGTTGAAGTGTAAAGGTGTGGGCAATATACTCCAGGAAGCTGTGCAAAAACCTCCAGCGCCGGTGGAAAGAGCGCAAAATCTGCCTTTTGCCGAGATCGCAAACGACACTAAAATGCCCCTTGCAGAGTGGCATTGAGGTTAAACCTAGGGCCTTGGAGGCCAGGCTGATTAGCTAGTGCGTGGGTGACGCTCGGTTGGCCCTAGATACGGTCGCCAAATGGAATACGGGCTTGAAATGCGAATTTCAGAGAAGAATAATTCTGTAGTATAAGTTCCATGGAGCGCACTTACACTGCAATACTATTGTTTATCCAAAATTCAACTGTAACTGGGCAACCTGCATTTTTATTTGCAAAATCTTGCAACCTTAACCTCGGACAAATTCTAACCTTAGTGTTCCCACCTGTGCAATGGGGCCGAAATGAGATAATCCACGCAGAGAGTACGTACCAGGGGGGTGAAAGACAAGGAGAGCTCAGTTAAGCGTTAACTCTAGTTGTTTCATACCGGCGTGTCTTAGGGTAAATTCCTGGAAGTTTGCTGTAGCTATAGAAATCCCGAGCTTAATTTAAGGCGTGTCTGGACATTCACGCATACCAAAAACAGTGTTTTGTGAAAAGCCTTGGGCAGTTTAGCAGATATTTCTAGCTCCAGAATACAAATTAGATTTTTAAGCTTCCACACGAAAACAAAAATTTACCACCTGTGGGCATGGACGGATTTCCTTCCAATCACACCAAAGTGTTGGACGTTGATTCTGATGTGTCCTCTGTGGCAGAGTCAGGTGAAACAGTGTTCAAGCCGAGGCTGTGTGAGGAACGCGCTACGTCATTGCGAAGACTGACCCATGTTATTTAGTGACTGAACTAGAAATTAGCGCAAAACTAAGACTTACCATGAGGCCCAGGGCGCTCAGAACATTTCTGTCTTTTTCTTTCCACAAAGCTGGTACTTACATCATCCTCCTTTATGCTTAATTTAAAATTATTTTCAAATTTTAAAACCAGAAAAAAAGACGTTACTACAGGACAACACTTTGTATTTATACTGCTATAATTCCCTTTTTTCCTTCTGCTACAGAATTTCTGTTGGGTATTTTACTCTAAAAGCTTTGTGGGGTCACTAGAATCAATCCGTTATTACTTTCTAGAAGCATATAAGGCATAACTATGGGCCAAGAATATAATGATAATGTTGCGCTTATTTTTGTGTGGCTAGATGGACCCTTTAAAGGCTCAGCCCAGCTCCCCTGGCCACCTGTAACGTGGGCACAGGTGTTTCTCATGTCTTCCTGGCAACAGATTTTTAGCATTTTGCTAAATACATAGGTATAAAGAGATTGTAAGCTGGTTCTTTTTTCTTTACGTTGCCTCGAAGAACACGAGCTTCAGGAAGGGAGGGGTGTTTGCCTGCTCCATTGCCTGCCGCACCCGGGTCCCTAGGACGACACCTGGCCGGGGGGACGATCACTCAGTTGTTGATTGCACGAGCGTAACGGACGATTCCAGCTGTTTCTCGCTGTGAAAACCAACGTTTGTCTTCTCCAGCGTGGGCTGTACTTAGCAATCCTACCCTAAGTCGCCCCGACTCCATTTCCCTCCTTTGTCAAGTGTCCCTTCACTAACTTTCACACTCTCTTTGTCTTTGTAAGTTAAATGTAGTTCACCTTCCTAGCCACCTGCACCGGGGTCCATGCAGCAGCCATCCCTCGAAATGGGAGGAAGTGCGTTAGACACCTGGGAGCCTTCCACACAGGACAGATTTGAGACCTCTCTGCCCTCCTCCGATCCCAGCCAAACAGCTCTCAGGTCAGAACACAGCTTGTCAGCCGGGCACGCGATCCAGGGAGTGTCAGGCGAGCTGCCGGCCACAGCCCCAGGAGGGGACAGGCATAAAAAAGGCGAAATCAGAAGTGGGGAAGAAGGAGAGTCTCCTAGTGACAGAAGGGCAGACAGGAACAAACGGGAGCTGGACCGGGCCCCCCAGCAGGTGACTCGATGGCGGAAGCTCAGGAACACAGCTAAGCAAGGTGTGGATGCCAGATCCACGGGGGCAGCAAGAAAGGAGTTTGGTGAGATAGACCCGAAGCGGGCATGACCCGCCGAGGCTCTCTGTGAGCGTCTTTCGGAGAAACCTCTCGGCCAGGTCCTCTGTCTGGGGTAGGACTCGAAGTGGCAAAGGCTCTAAGAGCGGGCAGTCCCGACGGCCCACCAGGACCAAATGAGCCTAGCAAACAAGTGGCGATAACTGTGCGACAGCATCTTCGCTGGGTGACAGCGTGCGCTTCTACAGTTCAAGGCCTTGCCACCCCAGAAGTTTAGTGGCAGATGAGTAACAAAGCATTAAGGGCCACCGTGAAAGGAGGGAAGGCAAGGCAGCCCTGTCGTGGGCAACGCTGGTCATTCCTGCTGCATTTCACACAACGTCATGATGTTCCAGACTCCGACCTTCTCCGTGTTGGGGGACTAGGGGCTTTTTCACCCTTTATTAATTAAAACCCTTTGTTTTCATTGGCTGTCCCTCGAGGCCTCCAGTTCTGGGAAGACAGTATCCAAATACCACTGAAACGGCTTGCAGCCCAGACGTTTCCTTAGCTCCACGCGCTCGCTGATGTTTCCATAGGGAATGCGCTTCAGGCCAGGCCTTCGCAAAAAAAACTGTTCCTAAATAGAAACAAAGAGTCCCATTAAACCAAACAAACAACCCTTTAGTCATCGAGTCATGACATCTAACACAGCAGTGTATAATTTCATCCTCTGAACTTAAAACTAAAACCTCCTGACTTCCTCTGTCCGGGGACACACGCAGAGGCTGGGGCTCACCCCGCACGGGCGCACGGCGCGTGCTGTGATGGATGGCCCCCGACAGAGGCAGGGCAGGTTCCCTTCCTCCTCCTCTCCCAGCGAAGCTCAGGAACAAAGCCCCTCCCTCCCCCATTCCGACCAACACCTCCACGGTTTCTGGAATGGGGGGTGATGTGGGGCTCAAGGGCAAATCAACCCTGGAAAAAGCCAGCCTGGGTCTCAGGGCTGGCTCTGCTCATTGTATGAGCTCGGTGACCTCGGCCCCTCCCCGTGTGAGGCTGCTGTGAGGGCCGAACACCTTCATGCCTGCGGAGCCTTGGAGAGATGCGGGCCAGCACCTGGTGTCACGTCAGTGCCGGTGTTAATGGCCCCACACCTGGTTGGTCCCCTGTCGCACTCTCCTGGAAGGGAACAGCAAGCATGACTGTCTAGCGCACTCGCTCTGCCCCATGGTCAAAGCACTGTTCTACGTCGACTGGAGCCCCCTGCATGTTCCTCTGAGCACTCCCAGTGCCCGGCGTGTTGGAGAGGACTATTGTTGAGGGAGAGGAGCTTGCTCATCTAAACCGGCATGTTGCGGGCATGCCACGCTGGCTCCTCCCGAGGACGCCTCGGCCGCTGGAGGTCTTCGCCATCTTCTCTCCTAGTCACTCCTAGTTGCCCGGGGTGGTTGGTGCAGGGGGTGGGCCTGAGGGTGGGGGAGGGGTGTGGCATGAAAGCAGCGAAGTCCTCAGGCAACCTGGCCCTGTTTGAAGCCTCCTCTGGTCCAGCGTCACTCGCTGACTTTGCCCCAGTGTGGTGCCATACAACCCACTGATCCTGCCAAACGTGCTATTCCTTCTAAGTCAGGTGGAACGTTTTGTCACTGGATCTTCTGGGAGATTTAGTAACCTCCATCCTATCGTCTTCGAGTCAGCTCTTTAAATCGTGGCCGGAGCGCTCCAGGGCGTGAACAGGAACCGAGAGCACGATTTAGCGATGAGCCCAGGGCTGAGAAGGTTCACATCTTATCCCTGCTCATCACTGCTCTCCGGCTTCTAAAAATGGGTATGTTTTACCTTTGTAAAACTAATTGTTTAAAAATCACAAAATAGAATAAACACGCAGAAGGCACACAAAATAGAAGTGTGCAGCTTCACGGGTTCCTGGAACCTCCGCCCTGCTAACGCTGACGAGGCTGAGAAACAACGTCACCCGGGCCAAGGAGCCTCCACCTTCTGCTCCCTGGTCAGCGTTCTCTCTCTGTGTTTTAAATGCCCCTGATTGCGGTTCATTGCTTTGCTTTGCTTCCTCGCTTTGGTATCTAAATGCGCGTACAAAGATTATATAGTTTAATTTTACCCATTTGTAACTTAGAGAAAAATACAGCAGTTTCCGTCGTCGTAGCAACTAAATATGTCACATTTGCCCATTCTCCTTCTGATGAGTATTTGGGTTGTATTCCTCTGGGATTGACGGCGCTGTGCATAAGCACACTTGTTACGTGTTCTGGGGCACAGAAGCATGCATTTCTTTAGAATGGAGCTGTTGGGTCATGGGACAGTCGTATCGTTTACTCAGTGTCGCCCAACTGTCTTCCGAAGTGACTTTGTAATGATTAGCATTCCCACGGTCCGTGTCTGAGAATTCCTGTTGCGTGCCGCCACCTCGTCTTACCAGGTTTATTTTGTGTGCATCTAGGGGGCTATCTATCTAGAAATACCTCCCTGAGGTTTTAATTCACATTGCTCTGATTGCAAAAAAAAAAAAAAAAAAAATTGCATTATTACTTTTATAACTTAAAATAATAAAGAAATACTCGATCAAGGCCAGGACGTACACTATGATGGAGAGATCCTTATACGCTTCTGCCCATGTATCTGAAAGGGGGCCCTGTTGGGGTTACTGTCCGTATGAGCCGCGCATGGATTCTGGACGGACGGCTACCAAGTTGGAAGAGCCGCACCCCACGCTCTCTGCACGTGCACCCTACTTTTGGGGCCTGGCAGGGGCTTGCGCCCTGGGGAGATGACTCCCAGGTCAGCAGCAGCCACATCGCTGGGAGCTTAGTGGTGGAGGAAGAGGATCTAAAAGCTGCCGGTGGGGATGGGACTGGGGGCAGGTGTTCGCTTCAGAGGGACCAAGCGTAGGGTGGGAGCGGTAGGCCTAAGCAAAACAATAAAAACCCTCTTGTGTTGATTGATTGATTTCTAAGCATCTTGAGTTTTTCCTAGACATTAAAATAAAAAGTAAGGTTGCCCTGGCTGGTGGGGCTCAGTGGATTGAGCGCCAGCCTGCGAACCAAAGGGTTGCTGGTTCGATTCCCAGGCAGGGCACAGGCCTGGGTTGCGGGCCGGGTCTCCAGTAGGGGGCGCGCGGGAGGCAACCACACATGGATGTTTCTCTCTCCCTCTCTGCCTCCCTTCCCCTCTAAAAATAAATAAATTAAATCTTAAAAAGAATAAATAAAGGAAGGGGCAAGTGTAGCCGTTTAGCGTGAACCAAATGAGACGAAGGTCTGGAGTTGAGCAGACGGATGGCTGAAGGGGTGCCTCCGATTGAAGGAAATCAGGGACAAGAACCAAGCCTGGGCCCCGGAGAGGCGGGAGATGGCTTACTCAGGGCACGCCCCTCAGTGTCCCTTACTCCTCGTTCGCAGCGGACACGCATCCTTTACCTTGTACTCATCCAGCCAAACATGCACCAGCCTGAGATTGTTGTGCATCATGGCTTTGAAAACTTCGGTGCGGTTTTGGGTGGTCTGCTTCACGATGTGTCCTACCCGGGAGCAGGGCAGTATAAACAGCTGGCCTCCACACATCCAGATCTGGACACGAGAAAAACAGAACACGTCTTCACGTGCGTTTCCTAGTAATAGGCACCCGCTGAATTTTTTTTAAATCCTCACCTGAGGATGTGTTTATTGATTTTCGAGAGAAAGAAACGTCAGTGTGAGGGAGAAACATTGATCAGTTGCACCCCACATGCGCCCTGACTGGGAAGTGAACCCACAATCCTTCGGTGTATGGGACGATGCTCCAACTGACCGAGCCACCGGCCAGGGCCAACTGCCGCATCGGTTTACAGACCTAGCAATAGCTCACACTTACGAAGTCCCTTATTTCATTCAGTCCCCACAGCCGCCCTGTAACGGAGGTGCTGTGGTTATTCCCGTCTGGGGGATGGAGAAACCAATGCCTGGGTCAGCGGAGCAGCTTGCCTGGTGGCAGGGAGCTGCAGGCAGCCGAGCGCAGGACTCAAACTCAGGGAATCTGCCCCACAGGCTCGAACATGAAGCGGTTCTGCCCCTCTCATGCATGACCCGGTCCGATGCTCATTACGTGTGAAGGGCGGCATGAAAAATCCGTCTTAAGATATTCTCAAACAATATAAGGAATTATTAGACCATGTGAACCCCCGGTGCGGCTTCATTGATACAGAGTAGCCGATGTCAGGCCTGAGCCCCAAATAGCACGCGGGTGAGACGACAGAATTGACAAGAGCTGTCTCGGAAACACCCATGTTTAAGAGACACACAGAAGAAAGTCCCGTGAAGGAAACAGCACCAGCAAGCAGCGGAAGGGGATCCAGAAATGTCCTAAAATCCCAGAGAAGTTCTGGAAAAGATGGCTCTACAGCGTCAAATTCTGCAGTAACCTCAAGTATGTTGAAGACCAAAAGCCATCCATTAGAGATATCATTATTAAACTGGTGACAGCACCCAGCCCTGGCTGGTGTGGCTCGGCGGATGGAGCGCCAGCCTGTGAACCAAAGGGTCGCCAGTTCAATTCCTAGTCAGGGCACATGCCTGGGTTGTGGGCGAAGGTCCCAGTAGGGGGCGCTCAAGAGGCAGCCGCACATTGATGTTCCTGTCCCTCTCTTTCTCCCTCCCTCCCCCCCTCCAAAAGTAAATAAATAGCCTCCCAGAATGACGTCACAGGATGCCGAGGGCCCTCGGAATGTTGGTTTACTGGAATGAAGAGGAAGCGAGACGTGAAGTATAGACAGGCATGGATGGTCTTTTCTTGGGGAAGACAAGGTTCCATCTCTTGGTTAAAGACCACGGCCAGGGTCAGGAGAGCACTTTAGTTATTTATTAATTGATGTTTGTTTGCAAAAAGAGAGACCCAAAGGTACTTAAAAGATAGGCAGGGGCCGTGAGGAATGGAGTGGGTGAAACTATTGAAGCAAAGATAATTGATACATTTGAATAATACGTTAGCTGTTATAATCTAGCGAGAGGAGCTATAGAACCAGAAAAAAAAAAAGCCCCAACCACTTTTCAAATATGAATGTATCGTTCACAAGATTGATTTTAGTCTGAGGCAGAAGAATGTGCCTGTGAAGTGATTAGGTCCTGAAAGGGGGAAACTCCAGGTACCACATTCTCAGAGGGAAGTAATGAGGTAAGGACGAAACGACCGAAGAAAAGGGGCAAAGACACGGGCCTTATCAAATAATGGCGGTCAGGGGGGAGGACGTGAATGGAGACAAAGCAGCGGTGAAAATAACGCAGCGACGGTGCCACCACACAGGGGCTTGATGGGAAAAGACACCGGCCGACACATTCCCATATTAGCAATACAGTGTCTGAAGGTTTATGAAACAAGCCGGAACTTAAAAGCACCTATAAACGAGTGAACAAAGCAACCAGCCAAAACAAGAGGGAGGCCAAATCCAAAACAGGAAAAAGACAAAAGGCGGAAAATGACAACACTGAAGAGAACTATAGTGAACAACGTAACACATGCTAAGACGACTTGAACTTCAAAGTAGGACCTCGGCAGATGCCTTCGCAGAGTAAAAGGGACAGGCGGCCACATTTCAACTCCAATAGTAGCGGCTGCCTCTTAATCAGCTCCTATAAACTCATCAATTAAGCTGTTCTCTCCACACCAACATTCTTGACTGGGCAAAGAGACAAGCAAGACAGGGAAAAGTGAGAAAAAATCATGTTAAGAGTAAAAACAGTGAGCTCACAACCTAGATTTTTATGCACGGTTCATTACAAAAATCTATTACAGTTTAGTCAAAAACAAATACCTATGATAAAAGTGCAATAAACGTTTGGATAGTACCTTATACTTCCTTTGGGGTCTCTCTCTCTCTCTCTCTCTCTCTCTCTCTCTCTCAGAATATCTACTTTATACTTTATTCTCTGCCTGAATTATCTCATGAAGTCCTCATAAAATTCCAAGAATGGCATTTATAGTTATTCCTACTTAAGAGGGGAGGCTAGAAAAATTAACGGCTTGCAAGGATCATACAGCGGTAGAGCTGGGACCTGGTCTAAGGTCTGATATCACAGGATTTTTTAAAAGTCGAATCTACTTTTAATAACTGAGATGCAATTCACACACCATAAGAAATCACCCTTTTAAAGCATAGAATGTAGGGATTTTTGGTGCTTCCTCAAGATTGTGCCATTAATCCCGGAACATTTTTCACCCCCCAAAAGAGAAGGCTGGCAGCCGTCAGCTGTGACTCTCCCTCCTCCAGCCCCCGGCGACCTCAGATCTACTTTCCGTGTGTACGTGTTTGCTTAGTCTGGACATTTCACACGAAAGGACTCCAGTAAGTAGGTGGCATTTGTGCCTGGCTCCTCCCACTGACCGTCACATTTTCTGGGTTTTGTTGTAGCAAGTTTCCCAGGATTTAAGGGTCAGGAGCCCACTCTATGCCCTCTCTCGAGCTGTCTCGTCTCACAGACAGAGCCGCGAAGACCTGAGGTGGCTCAGGTGCTCAGCGGCCTCTCGGACCCACCTCCTAACACTCTGCTCTGTCCACCACGCCGCCACCCCCGAGACAATCAGGAGCATCAAAAAGAGGTTCCACAGCCAGTTTAAGTTGTCTCTTAATGTGACGGGCCATGCATTGAAAATAACATAATGGCAGGACACGCTGACATTCTATGAAATGCTTTCCATTTTCACAAGGAGCCCCGCACGGCGTATGTTTCACGTGACACCCGAACGGTGCCAGGCACTCATGGGGACAAATGATATCATTGCCAAAGCAGATTACATGGCTTAAGGTTTGATTTCGCTCTGTATGTACAAAGGTGACTATGAAAAGCGATAAAATCTGAATTACCCTCAGTGAAAGTTCCAAATTTTCTCCGCCCCAGAGTTTCATGTCCTTGTCATACTGTCCAATCTCGTTAAAATAATGCCGATTTATAGCAAAAATCCCTCCCGCCATGGCAGGGGACCTAAGAAAGACACATACATATTAAATTGATTCTACAGACTCAGTCATTATGGATGTTTGCCAAAATTATATTGACTATTAATGATAACATAGTTAAAAGCTAGAAAACAAGCACCTTAACGAATTCCAAAGTGATCTTAATACAAATTTAAGTACAAAAAATGACTAAGTTGAAACCACAAATACCTAGATGTAGGCAGTGACATTATTTAGCCCTCACCACATTATATGAGCAATATACCAATTCTAAATGTCGTCTTGGTCAGAGGAAAAATTACCTTTAGACTCCGAGTTTCCCATGGGGGTGGCAATGGAATTGGGCAGTGGAGTTTAGAGTTCTAGGGGCATTCATTAAGTAACATTGTAATAGTTACATCTGGGAAAACTAACACGTTAACAAAGCATCTGTTTTTGTCCACCAACAGTGGGACTCATAAATGCCAAACTGAATAGTTTCAAAGGAGTTACACGTCTATTCGTACATTCATTTGTTCCAAAAAAAAATACCTATGAGACACCTGTAATACGTGCAAGATAAATTTGTGAGTCCGCAGGCAGAGGCGGGAGTAGGGACACCAGGCAGAGGCGGCTGCCGTGGTCCCAGAGAAAGACCATGGAATCTTGGGTAAGGGTACAGCAAAGATAGCAGTGAGATGCCGTCGAATTCTTGATATACAGGGGCTGGCAGGAATAACGCCCCTTTTTAGGTTACAAAATCATGAGCACGTAATTTTGTAACCTAATTACAAACGTTCCACAGACGGGCCTCCGAGGTCAGAGGGCAGCAGCCACACAGGCGCTGCGGGCTGGAGGGACATGCTCACGTTCCGTGGGAAAACTCAACACCTACTCTATTCTGTTATTAGGGACTGTTAGAAACAAGCTAACTTTCAGAAACAAGATAAATAGCACAATGTCATTAAACGCAAGATATTGAAGACATAACCTCTGCAAGCTTCCTTTTTATTTGTCCAGGTGCCCAATACGCACATTCTCCCGCATTTCCCCATAACCCACACAAAGCTCACCGGATGGGTCTAGTGGGTCCTTCTGGTCCACCCATCTCATACGAGAGAACATTATCCCACTTAAACTGTAGATTCCAGTTGAAAGCTCCTCTTACAACAGGGGAGGGCTTGTATTCCAAGGTCACGTGGTCAATGACATCGGTGATAGGACACACCACCGTCCTGCGGTCCTTGGCGATAGCATCCAGCAGGGGCTGCAGCCACATGTTGTTCACCTCGCAGTGGCTGTCCAGGAACACCAGCACGTCCCCTGGGGAGGCAAGGGCCAGCCAGCGTCAGTGCTTATGCATGAAACGCCTGGCAACCCCAATCACAGCCGCACACAACGGGTTAGTCAGGCATTTGCTACACGTTTGGCACTCGAGGTGCTTTCAATTCCATTGCGGGGAAAGGCAAGAAACACAGACCTTATTTTGTACCAAAAATGTAGGACATCATGTGCAGCCGATGCCCAGAAAAACATCTGCAGTTACAGAGTAGCTTTGGGGGAAGATTCTAAAGAAGCAGGTAGAACTGAGCTAGGCTTCAGTGAAAAAACAGTTTCGCTTGGCTTTGACCGATCTATTCAACTTAGCAAGTGTTGACGGGGAGGACACCTTCTCCCGTACTGACTGTGGGATGTAAAGATGCAGAACTAGTTTTGCTCTTGAGTTGAAGCTTTAATAAGGAAGGGTCTGTTCCGCTTAGAGAAGATGGGAAAGACTGGCCCGGCCACTGAAGAAGGCGGGTGTGGACACGCCCGGGCCGGCGAGGCTCCAGGGAGCGGCCCCCTGTGGCGGGGCTGTCCCCTGGTGCGGTCTTTTTGAGGACCATTCGTCAGTAGCCATCATCATGGAACATAAGAATTCCCCTTTGGCTAGGCTTTCTCCTCTTAGCAATTTATCCCATAAGCACAAGTACACGTTTGCGCAAAGACACAGGTACAAGAATGGCTGGGAAAGCACTGTGCGTGTGTGCGTGTGTGTGTGCGTGCGTGCGTGTGTGTTGGGGGGGCAGTAAAAATTAAAATCACCAATTGAAAAATAGCTGGCCCTGGCCGATGAGGCTCAGTTGGTTGGAACATTGCCTGGTAACCGAAAGGTCACTGGCTCAATTCTGGTCAGGGTACATGCCTGGGTTGTGGGTTTGATTCCCCAGTCGGGGAGCATGTGGGCGGCAACCTGTTGCTATTTCTCTCTCACATCGATGTTTCCCCCTCTCTCTCTGAGTCAGAATGAATTAAACCTTTTAAAACAGTTAAAAAAAAAATAGCTGAGCAAATTACAGCTACCCATTCACAGAATCCATAAGGAAGACCGTAGTGTGATTAAAAACTGATGCAAGTCTTCCATACTGTCATGAATAAAGTTCCAAAACATTAAAATTAGATTGAAAGAGTAAGTCTTAGGACAATAAAGACAGTATGATTCCATATACGGAGTGGGGAAAGGTAGGCTTACAGTTGTGAGTACGTGAAACACAGAATTTATTCTTGTATTATTATCTATTAATTGTTGTATTATTTTTCATACAAACAACTCTAAACCTACTTTTGCCCTACTCTGTACGTTTAAAAATCCGTAAAGTTACGTGTGTGGGTGCATATGCGCGCCCATTGATGGATAACATTTGCACAACATGGTGCACAGCGTTGATGCTTAACACACATACACATACGCGCACCCACGGATGCGTAAAACCGAAGGTCTGGAAACACACACGCTGTGCTGTGGCTCGCACTGCGTTTTGGACAATGACTGTGTATTGTCTGTGTTATTAAACAAGAGGATGTCTCCGTCGATGAGGCCAACATAGAAAAAGAGAATTCGATTTTGCTTTCATTTGGCCTGCTGCTCAGTAAGGAGCCCCGATTGCACTCTGGCCTGAGGAAATGCCCTGGATGTTGCCCAGGCCCTTTGCTTCTAGTTGGCTATGCTGCCCCAAACCTCTGACCCTCCCGGATTCCTGGAAGCTGGGGAGCTGGAGTGCGCGGCCCCCGGGACTCATCCCCCGCAGGCCTGCGTCCCTCTCCAGGAACCGGCCTTGATGGAGGATGGGGCCACCTTGGCCGAGGTGACGCCCCCCCCAGGGGCAGGGCTGTGCCCACCCACGCCCGGTCCCCTCACTCTGATGTGGCTCCTGGGGGCAGCCCCAGGAGGGGGCAGCTCTGGTCTCCGTTCGTTTGGGAGAGCCTGCCCTGAGGAGCCCACCTGGCAGCTTCCATGTCTTTGGATCCAGAACCGTACTCACGCCAAGGCCTTGTTCTCTCTGGGGCTCCCACAGTGACTAAGTGCGCTGCGGGGGAGGGGGGCAGGGAAGGCGAGGGGAGAGCTGGAGCTGGGCCCCTCAGGCCGAGGCCGAGGCGGGGCTCCTCTGCTGGGTCCCCTCCAGCCCGGCTGAGCCTCTCTGATGCTCTTTCCACCCAAACCTCCTTCCTTCCCTCTCTCCCTCCCCAGGCGTCGGACCAGAAGCTTCGGGTCCGCACGTCTCCCGCTCCCCTCAACCCTTCACAGACACGTCTCCCCATTTCCCCTTGGCCTCGTTCAGGACCCCTCCCACCCTGGCCTCAGAGTCTCCTGTGCCGCAGGCAGCTGCCCCCCGCCCCCGGCCCCCAGAAGTCTTGCTTCCCTCACTGCTTGGGAGGCCTGGGTGCCAAGAACACCCCAGCGCGTCCCCTGTGTCTGCGGCTGCGTCTCAAACTTTGTAGCTCAAACGAGGGGACCTCGTTCGGTGTCCTGTTCCAGGGGCTGACCCGACGACCTTTCCGAAGTTGACCTTTTCTTTGAGTCAAGAGATGGACATTTTGAAGCAGAACACGTTCAGGGTCAAGAGCAGCTTCAAGGCCCGTATGGCTGACACACATTTCCAGCCTGTGTTCCGCTGGGGGAGACACGCGGGGGGCGCACGGTGGGGGGGGGCGCTCCACGAGATCAGAAAGGCCCCGGAGGCGCGGACAGCGGCCGGGGCGCAGAGGAGGCGTCCCTACCTGCCGCCCGCACGGCGCCTGTCAGCCGCGCCTGAACCAGCCCCAGCCTCTTTGCGTTCCTTATTAGCTTAACTTTGCCCCGAAACAGTTCCAGGTAATGGTCTAGTTTTTCTTTCAAATCATCTGGGGGAGAAAAAAAAAAAAAAATCCAAGACTTGGCAACGTGTTACCAGTAACGGCAGACGTGAAAGCAGCTGGGCGCCATTCGGACTGATTCCTGAAAGCCGTGCTAACCCGCAGAGGGAGTTGCTTTAAGAGAAAACCTTATCCTGTGTAAGGAAGAGGACGAAGAGTGTTTCAGCACTGAAGTCAGCTATCCATATCCTTCCACTTCTAGTGAAAGACCTCGATTTTAATCCGTTACTCTTAAAATGTCAATAGAAAAGGCTTGGGTCACGGCATTTTGGCAGAAGGACAGTTGGTGCCCCTTCGTTTACCTCATGGAAGCACTAACCGCCCCGTGTGCCCGACACCGTAAGGACAGCAACCAGATCTTACGCGCCGCCGCCCCCGCCCCGACCCGTGTGGCCATAGCATCTAGCCCAGCGCCTGCCTCAACACCACCCAGAACAGTTCTCTGTGTTTTGAAACAACTCACAGCCCATCAGACACAGCATTGCCTTCCAAGTAGGTTAGGGAGATTAGTAGCGTTCTGTCTTACCAAATTCGCTCATGTCATCTACCAAAATAATTTCTTCAAGGAGTTGGGGTGGAGTGAGGTTCATGACACTGGACAGTGTCCGCAACAAGGCGTTAAATTCCTCATTGTGGAAACAAATGACAATGCTGGCAGTAGGTAGGTTGGTCAGGTAATGTTTTTTAAGGCACCTGCAGGCACAAATAAGAGGAAGAAAATGATTCATGTTTTGGGACCTCAGTTCCCTGGTTTCAAACGATATTACAAAGCTATAGTAACCAACACAGTATGGCATTGGCATAAAAACAGACATTTGGCTCAATGAAACAGACCAGGGAGCCCTGAAATAAACCGAAGAATATATGATCAATTAATTTATGACAAAGGAGGCAAGAGCATACAATGAGGTAAAGATAGTCTACTCAATAAATGATCTTGGGAAAACTGAGCAGCCACATGCAAAAGAATGAAACTGGACCACTAACTTATACCATACACAAAAATGAACCCAAAATAGATTAAAGACTTGAATGTAAGACCTGAAACCATAAAACTCCCAGAAGAAAACATCGGCGGGAAGCTCATCGACAATGGTTTTTTTGGCTCTGACACCCCAAAAAGGGCAACAAAAGCAAAAAGAAATAAAGTGCATTAAACTAAAAAGCTTCTGCACAGAAGTGAGAGCCGTGAACAAAATGACAAGGCAACCCAGTGGATGAGAGGAAATATTTGCAAATCACATACCTGATAAGGGATTAATATCTAAAAAATATGAAGAACTCATACAACTCGCCCTGGCAGCGTGGGCCAGTTGGGCGGAGCCTTGTCCCGCACACCAAAGGTTGCGGGCCCAGTCCCCAGTCAGGGTGCGTATGGGAGGAAACCAATCGGTGTTTCTTTCTCACATCAATATTCTCGCTCCCTCTCTTCCTGTCTCTCTAAAATCAATAAAACATATCCTCCATTGAGGATTTCTTTTAAAAGAAGAACTCATACAACTCAATAGCAAAGACACAGACCAAACAATACAATACAATTTAAAAACTGGGCAGAAGATCTGCATAGACATTTTTTCCAGAGAAAACACACAGATGGCCAACACATACATGAAAAGAAAAGATGCCCAATGTCACAAATCATCAGGGAAAAGCAAATTAAAACCACAATGAGACACCACTTCACGCCTTGTAGAGTGGCTGCTGCCAACAAGACAAGGAATAGCACGTGTTGGCAAGGGCGTGGGGAAGAGAGAACCCCGGAGCTCTGTTGGCCAGAATGACTATAACTTGGGGCGGCCATGGTGGAAAATAGCGGGAAGGCTCCTCAGAAAATTAAGAATAGAACTGCCTTACGATCCAGCAATTCCACTTCTAGGTATTTATCGGAAGAAAACTATATGACTCCCTCGAAAAGATGTCTGCACGGCCATGTTCCCTGCAGCGTTATTTGCAGCGGCCCAGACAGGGAAGCAACCTTAGATTCCGCGAGAGGATGAATGGGCAAAACAGCGGCGGGGTATGTGTAATATTCCATTAAAAAAATAGAACCATAAAAACAAAGGAAATCTTGCCATTTTCCATAGCACGAACGGACATTGAGGGCATTTTCCTAAGTAAAATATGTTAGACCGAAAAAGACAAATCCAGATGATCCTCACATGTAGAACCAAAAAGACAAAAACAGAAACAGCAATAACCCCCTCCTTCTCCCCTACTCCCGGCACAAAAACCAAGCTCATAGAAGCAGAGGACAGGTGGGTGGTTGCCAGAGGCTGGGGGTGGATGAAGTGACTAAGCGGGGAGATCAAAAGGCGCAGGCGTCCAGTTATAAAATCAGTCAGTCCTGGGATGTGATGCGCGGCGTCACGGCCGTAGTTAATGCCACTGTATTGCGTATCTGAAAGTTGCCAGGAGAGTAGATCTTAAAAGTTCTCATCACAGGGAAAAACTATTTTTCGTAACTATGTAGGGTGACCGATGTTAACTAGATTTATTGTGGTGATTATTTTACAATATATACTAACAGCAATTCATTATGTCGTACACCTGAAACTAATAGAATGTGCTATGCCAATTACATCTCAACGCAAAAAAGAAAAAATTAGCAGAAACATACATTTTATTCCTGGTATCTGGCACACGCCTCTCTTGGCCCAAGCTTTTACTGACAATGGTATTAAATCCATAGTTTATAAAGCCATGAAGAAGTTCTGGATCCATAATGTTAATATTCTTATCTACAAGAAAAGGTAAGTAGAGTCACAAAAGTATTGGCATACTACCATCACTTTGATAAAGGGGTGATGTTTTTAACTGTACCTATTAAAACTTATTTCTGTGAAAAACAGAAAGCTGTCTGAAACAAGTAGAACAAACTGTTTTAAAACTGTTAAATGTAGGTGGTCAACACACACACACCTGTTTTATTGTTTTTCATATATCGTACATAAAATATTTCATAATTTAAAAATTGAATTGGTCTGGAAAAACACTCTTTTACTCTTCCAAATATTATATTTATGGCATCTTTTCCCCCTTAAAATTCTAGCAGAGCCCTGACCGGTGTGGCTCGGCTGGTTGGGCATCGTTCGGCAAAGCGCAAGGTCACCCGTTCGATTCCTGGTCATGTCACACGCCTGGGCTGTGGGTTTGGCCCCGGTCAGGATGCAAACAAGAGGCAGCCAATTGCTGTTTCTCTTTCACATCAATGTTTCTCTTCCTCTTTCTCCCTCCCTTCTCCTCTATTTAAAAATGAATTAAAAATACAATCTTTAAAAAAATGGCTAACAGAGAAAACCAAAATACTCACCTGCTTTTAAAAGGGGCTTCTGCTCTTTAGCTTCCTCTTCGCTGGGTCTCTCCTCTCCTACAGGTTGCCCTGGTATTTGCCCAGAGCCGTAGATAGTTTGCCATGGCGATTTTTTATCAAGGGACCAAATCGACGTGGGACCCTGGGTTTCCTTCTGCTCATTGCGCTCATGATCGCGGTAAAAATACATACATAACAGAGTTGTCCAGATCCCAAATATCAAGGACCCACAGAGTAAATATTGAATTATGACATTTCCCATTGTAAACCTAGCATCTTTGAGGATCCATTTTTCAATGTCCTAAATTGGAAGGATTTGAGAGAAGCTATATTAGCTATTTCAATGGTGTGCAGGATCATTTCCTTGGCTTACATTCAATTTTCAGTGTTTTAAAAATCATTTTTCTATTGGTGCTTATCATATTTTTTGATAAGATAAAGTGTACTTCTTTCTGTTCTCCAGCAACCTGTAACACTGATATTCATAAAATTACATAACATCAAAATATACGACATGCTCATAAAACATATGCTTTCATCTAAAGTCACAGGTCCGTTCTGAGCACAGAGCTAAAGGAAATAATGTGAAAGAAGGTTCACTGGTCCCTTATACACGCTCAGTCTGTCTGGGGGTGATAGTGCAGGCCTCTATTTTTAAAATCTGATCTAACACCCGTCAGCCTGTTAAAAACATGAAATGTACAATATCGCCGGCTGGAAGGAATGGGGGCAACGGGAACCGATGGGACAGCAGGCAGTTAAGTTGAACTTGCACACACGGTGTAGATCCCCAGGAACAGGGCCTGAGGAGACTCTCACGGGCTGTGGTCAAGCATGTTCATAGAGGTCCTGCTCGCGGCAGAAACCGGACACAGCTTCAGGCTCCCCGTGATGGGGCCCTGAGAAAGGGGGGCTGTGCGTCAGCGCTGGAAACGCGCCCACCGCGGCTCCCTGTGTTAACATTGTAAAACCTCGGAAAGTGATGTTGCCCCAAAGCCAATCGGTTACGATGCTGCTTATATACATTTGGAAAACGTGACAAGCGGTGTGATTGTTAAAGGCGACACCGTATGCGGCCAAGGATGGGGGACAAACGGTGCCTGCAAACAGATACAAGTTTAGGGGGGCAATGGCTTCCGCCGGGAAGGGTACAGGGCAGGAACATAAGCGCTCTTGATGTTTTAAAAAAATTTTTTTAATCCTTACCCAAGCCTATGTTTATTGATGAGAGAGAGAGAGAGAGAGAGGCATCGATGTGAGAGAGATTGGTTGCCTCTTGCACACACCCCAACCAGGGATCAAACCCAAAACCTAGGGATGTGCCCTCACTGGGAATGGAACCTGCAGCCTTTTGGTGTCTGGGACGACGCTCCAACCCACAGAGCCACCCGGCCCGGGTGAGCTCGTAATGCTTTTTCTTTTAAAGCTCTGAAGCAGATGTGGCCACACTAGGAGGTCCGACAACACCTGATGATGTGTATACAATGTTCATGGTATTTTCCTATTTCCCTTACATTGGAAATATTTCACAATTTAGCAAAAGAAGGAAAAGGTCTTGAGAGGCTTCCTTTCTACGTGGCTGACATCTGTCTTCTCTCTCTCCTCACGCAACTGGGGGTAAAGGTAAAGCCGAAGACCCTCCTTGGGGAAGAGTGGAAGATGGTGACACGGGTGATAATGACGTGGACAGGCAGGGGGCGTCACGCTCCGAACACGCGGTGACCAGGCACCGAGACGGACCGAGCCCAGCCGGCCCGAGGAGGTACAGGCCTGTCCGCGGGTGCTGGGGAGGCTGCGGGAGGCCCCTGCAGAGGGCGGCTTCAGGCGGAAGCCCAGGGTCCCTCGGGTGGGGGACGTCTGGGGGACACAGTCCTGCTCCCGCCTCGCACACTGGGCCCCGGCAGGCAGGCTCCCTGTTGGAGAGCAGCTCTCCTCTCGGCCTCTGTCTGAGGACCACGGAGAGGCCTCAGCTTTGCAAGGCAACACCCGCCCTTCTCCCTCGGGCTCACCACCTGGAGGCCTGCGCCTCCAGGCTGCCAGATGCGATAACTAGGGTTTGGTTACCACAGGGCCCGGCCGGATCGGCTCGGCCTGCTCAGGGCGCAGGAGTGTTCCCCGAGGCACGAGGCAGCGTCCGGGCCGGCCTGGGCCTAGCCCCGCTGCCCCTGGGCCAAGGGGGAGTTTGTCAACAGAGGAGAATTCTCCCGGGAGCCAGCGCTAACACCTGGGCCCAGGTCCTGGGTGCACAGCAAAGGCTCGCTGGTGGGCCCCAGCTGGTGTGGCTCAGTGGACTGGGTACCGGCCCGCGAGCCAAAGGGTCGCCGGTTCGATTCCCGGTCAGGGCACAGGTCTGGGTTGCAGGCCAGGTCCCCAGCCGGGGGCACACGAGAGGCAACCACATTTTCATGTTTCTCTCCCTCTCTTTCTCCCTCTCTTCCCCTCTCTCTAAAAATAAATAAATAACCTTTAAAAAAGAAAGGCCTACTGATGGGATGAATAACGCTTTAAAAATGAGATGTGTGATTATGCAAAGAAAGAATATCCAATGCAAAGAAAGAATATCCAATGTATAAGAGAAGACAAGAACTTCTACTTGGGGGAGGAATGGGCGGATTAAAACTGAAAACAGAATGAGCGGTTTCCACTTAAATTGCTACCATAACTTCCTGCGAAATGTCTTAAACTGTGAGAGACTTCGCTTTGACTTCCTCCCAAACCCAAAAACGATCGAAAATTAGTTAAAAGAGAACATGGGTGAGAGGCGCCAACTACATTGATTATAGGCAGTGGACACCGGAATCCATAGGCTGGGATTATTACTGAAAAAGGACAGAAATCTCTGTTCTCTAGAGGGGCCCTACTATAGTAAGAAAATCTGGGGGAAATTCTCTTTAGATGTGAACACCTATAAAAATATACCTCTCCAGTGTTCTTGTTTTACTACCATATGCTTTTGTGTTTTGAAAGCAGAGCTCCTGCCGTTGTCTGAAAATGTCGTTGGCTCCCCCACCCCCTTACCCCCTGCCCCCCGCCCCCAAAACTCACAGGCAGCCTCTCCTTCTGAACGGCAGACCCAGCAGGTCTGTGACTGGCTCTTCAGCTCTGTCTGCTCAGAAGGAAATCATGTTCAGTTATTGTCTTCTCTAAAATATGTTGACTCCACGTGCTAGAAAAATACAGAATCTTTAAAGCACATTTCAGTGAGGATTTGTATAGAGCAAACAAAACTTTAAATGCATTCAAAAAACTCTGAGTCTTCATTAACACGCATGTACATACGCGCTTGCCCACGCACCCACGGAGAAACCCAAACCCTAAGCTAAGCCTGGATGGCATCTTTGATTAGGGTTTAAAATGTGAGTCTCCAGGGTCAGGGAAACATGACCATCAGTTCTGTAGCCCTCACTTGCCTAGGACAATCCTGACACCTGTCTCCATACGAGCCCTGTGACTTTCTGGTACCACAGAGGGCCTCTTTTTCTAGTTTACTTTTATACCTTTACTTGGTATAAATCTTAAGAAGCACAAAGGGGTGTATAATGAAAACTGGCCCCGATTTTCGAGAACGGAAGTCATCGCGATGTGCGGTCCGCCTCCGGGGTGGCGATAACACCTTTGAAAGCAGTTAGGCCTTCTTAGCCCTCCCCCCCCCCAGAGCCAGCCTCTGCCAAGGAGTCCGCGGTGTGCTGTGCCGCTCCCCAGGGCCCCCGCGGAGGACCCACCGCCATCTCTGTTCCCAGCCCCCGCACTCTGAGCGCACCCACCTGCCCCTGACACCGGCGCGCCGGCTGCTTCGTAATCGATGTCTTTTCTAAGTCGAGTCACGGGCGGAGGAGCTAGGCAGGGAAGAACGCCGAAAGATTTCTGAACGGCTCACTTTATGGTGCCCGGGTTCTGAGCAAACGGCAGGCTGGGCTGGGCTCCCCTGCCCCGACGGCAGAGCTCAAAGCACAGCCGCCTCACAAAGCCCCATGATGTCACACCGGGTGTCCCAGCACCCGCCCCCCAGGCCCCCGCCTGGAAGCCTCAGCAGCAGGTGGAATCCGGGGTGGCCCGAGTTCAAAGGGTCCTTCCGGAAAGCCTTACCCTCACAACTGCCGCTGAGGAAGTGGGAAAAGCTTCATCTTGGGCGAACTGAAATTCTAGCCTTCTCTAGGCTAGGCTCTTTGGAAATAAACTTAAGAAAAAGAAAACTCCCTGGCTGCGTGGCTCCGTTGGTTGGAGAGTCATCCCAGAGGGCGCGGGTTCGAGTCCCAGTCAGGGCACGTGCCGGAGCTGCAGGTTTGGTCCCCAGTCGGGCCTCATACTAGGGGCGGCCAGTTGATGCTTCTCCCTCATATTGATATTTCTTTCTGTGTTTTTCTCTCTGTCCCCATGTCCCCACGCCCCCCGCCCAATCTCCCACTCTCTCACTCCCTCTCTCCCTAAAATCAATAAACACATCTTCAGGTGAGGATTTAAAAAATAAAAAAGCAAGCTCTCACCACACTGCACTCCACCTAATGATGAGCCAAAGGGCTATTTAGCTGCCTTTTAATTTTCCCTCTACGTTACTCAAGTTTTAGATGTTGACCCAATGCTTGTGAAATTTCTTCTTGCTTAACATGCCTGAGCAGATCCCGCCCTTCCGCCGCTGAGGAGGTGACTCAGTGTTTTGCCCGCGACCCGACATCTGTTTCCAAGTAGGTGAGAGGCAGCGGGCAGGTCGGGGCCTCTCAGCATGTCCCCGCCCAGAGGTGATCGGCGGTAATGACCTCCAAGCACAGCTCTGCGTCTGCTTTGAAAGGCTTGAAGGGACTGTCCTTCCTGGTCCCTTTATAGTGAGTTTAATACTGAAAAGAAACCTTTTATGCATAATAGCTCTCAGCTGGAAACAGCCCCGATGTCGTCAATAGTAGAATGGATAAACTATCGTGGAGTGCAAAACAGCAACACGCGGCTGAGCCACAGCCACACGCCACAACGTGCAGAATCTCACAGGCGTGATATGGAGCGATAGATGCCAGACACGGGAGTTTAGAGTTCTATTTTTTTTTTTAAGATTTTATTTATTTACTTCTAGAGAAGGGGGAAGGGAGGGAGAAAGAGAGGGAAACATCAATGTGTGAGAGATACATTGACTGGTTGCGTCTCGTGTGCCCCCTACTGGGGACCTGGCCCACAAAGCCAGGCATGTGCCCAGACTGGGAATCAAACCAGCGACTATTTGGTTCTCAGGCCAGCACTCAACCCACTGAGCCACATCAGCCAGGGCTTTAGCTC